GATGTGGGGATGGCCCATCTCCCCCCTCAGGGACAGACCCAGGGCCCGAGTCTTAAGGACACGAGGGAGAGAATGGAGGTGCAGCGGGGTGGGTGAGGGGGGTCTAAGACTGCCCCCCCTTTCCTCTTTCCCGCAGTGGGTGGTGGGTGAGGAATTGGTCAGAGCTGGCCCTTAGCGCTCAGGTCCACTGGCCCCTCCTGGCACCCACTGCCCCGGTTGTCAGCAGTTCTGTTGCTTTTCATGCGTGGGTCTGAGCATGGGTGTGAACCCCACAGGGACCTGGCCCACCATTTCCACGCCCTTTATTGTCACCCCCCCCACACACACACACCCCCCAGGGCTGCTGAGGGCAGCTTGTGGACACTGGGGGACGGGACAGGGATGATGTCACTTCCTCTGACTCCTCTCCTTCCCTGGCCTTGCACAGACCGGGACGTGCGGATCCAGAAGGTCTTCAATGGCTACCTGAGGGTCACAAACGAGAACTTTCTGGACGCCTATGAGAACCCGAACTCCACTGAATTTGTAGAGCTGGCCAGCAAAGTGAAGGAGGCGGTGAGTCCACGCCCTGGGCTGGAGCCCTGTCCTGGCTGTATCTCCCTGGGCTGGTGTGGGGCACGGAAGGGCACCAGGTCCCAGGAGGGAGGGAGCGGCCTGGGCCGGGGGCAGAGGTACTGGCCTCACTGAGCCTCCTCTTTTTTCTGCAGCTGAAGCAACTGTACAGTGAGATCCCCGTCCTGCGGCCCTACTACAGGGAGTCGACAGTGACTGCCTTCAGGTGGGTGCTGCGGAGAAGGCGGGGGGTGGGGAGGTGCTGGGAATGGGATCCGTGCGCTGTTGTAGGGGGACAAGTGCCTGGTGGCCAGCAGGGTGATGCAGCCATGAGGCCCTGGCTTGGGGAACCAAGTCCTGTTCTGTCCATGACTGCGACAGCTCCTGTCTGGGCCGTGTCGCTCTGACGGAGGGCGCCAGGCAGGAGGGCACCGGGCCTGCCCCGTAAACGGCTCCGGAGGGCTGGTGCTCCTCTGCTACGTTTCCACATGTGGGTTTGGGTCTGCACCGGGCATCGGGGAGGGTGGGGCCCAGCGGGTGCCCAGAGCCCACCTGCATCTCAGACTTGGGCCTCTCCACAGCGAGGGCAGCGTCATCGCCTACTACTGGTCGGAGTTCAGCATCCCCAGCCACCTGGTGGAGGAGGCCGAGCGCATCATGGCCGAGGAGCGCGCCATCCGCCTGCCGCCCCGCGCCCGAACCCTGAGCTCCTTCCTGCTGACCTCGGTGGTGGCCTTCCGTGAGTGCGGGCCTTCGGGCTGCGGGGGTGGGCATTGGCTGGCCGGCCCGGGCGGAGCAGGGGACCACGCCAGGAACTCCCTCTCCTCCGCAGGAAGATAAGACAGCGAGCCGCTGGCTCCTCCCCTGGGGAATAAGGAAGCAGGAATGAGGAAATAGGCCAGACCAGTAAAACCTCGATTCTCCCTCTTGTTTTTCAGCCACTGACCCCAGAACAGTGCAGACCGCCCAGGACAGTAAGTACCACGCCCTCCTCCGAGTGGCGGGTTGGGATGTGGCCAGACGCCCTTTGATCCAGGTGTGCCCACAAGTCACACCTTGGTGACAGCCAGCACATCCCTTCGCCTGTCCCCAGGCCATGAGATGCTGCTTCCTGGTCCCATCTGGGCCCATGGCAACCTGGGGCGCCTTGGAGAGGCCAGCCCTGGGGGTACCCCTTTGGGGGTCGGGGCTGCTGGCCCGGCCGCCCCCGCCCGGCTCCGCCCGGCTCTGCCTCTCCTCCTCTGTTTCCCACAGACAGATGCAAATTCGCCCTGCACGCCCGATGGGGGGAACGGACTCGCTTCACCACGCCCGGCTTTCCCGACAGCCCCTACCCAGCCTTCGCCCGCTGCCAGTGGACCCTGCGGGGTGATGCCAACTCCGTGCTGAGCCTCACCTTCCGAAGCTTTGATGTCGCGGCCTGTGACTCCAAAGGCAATGATCTGGTCATGGTGTATGACACCCTGAGCCCTGTGGAACCCCGCACGGTGGCACAGTGAGTGTTCCCGGGGTGCAGAGTCAGGCTGTGGGAGCTGGGCTGCTGCCTCTGGTGGGCGGGGCCTCTGGACCAAGTTGGAGACAGTGTGTGTTACCGGCCATTGCAGACTGACAGGCAGCAGAGGGCAGGTGTGGCGCCGTCCTCAGCATGAGCTCAGCGGAGCATGGCGGAGGCGACGCGGTGGTAAAACGCGGTTTTGTGGAGGCCTATAGGTTGGGAGAGGCTGCCATTGAAAAGATAGTTTGTTGCTCGACTGGCGTCGACCTATGAACCAGGAGGTCGAGGTTCGATTCCCAGTCAGGGCACATGCCCTAGTTGTGGGATCAATCCTCAGGGAGGGGGAGTGCAGGAGGCGGCTGATGAGTGATTCTCTCTCTCATTGATGTTTCTATCTCTCTCTCCCTCTGCCTTCTTCTCTGAAATCAATAAAAATATCTATTCTAATAAAAGGATAATATGCTAATTAGACCGGGTCGACCGGACATCTTCCGGTTGTCCTGCCTGCCTTCCGGACAAAGCCACGGTGGCGGGGGCCAAGGCAGAGGCATGTAGGAACGATCAGGCCAGCAGGGGAGGGCAGTTAAAGGAGATCAGGCCGGCGGGGGGAGCAGTTAGGGGCAATCAGGCCGGCAGGGGGGGGAGCAGTTAGGGGTGATCAGGCTGGCAGGGAAGGGCAGTTAGGGGCGATCAGGCAGGCAGGCAGAGGGGTTAGGGGCAATCAGGCAGGCAGGCAGGTGAGTGGTTAGGAGCCAGTGGTCCCGGATTGCGAGAGGGTGCAGGCCGGGCTGATGCCCCACCCCCCTGCACAAATTTTGTGCACCGGGCTTCTAATATATATATATATAGCCTTTAAACCTTAAAAAAGAAAGGAAAGAAAAGACAAGAGTTTGCTACTCACAATTCCCAAATGGAGGGCCCCCCTGGGGAAGCACTAGGGTGGTCGGGACGCGAGGACACGGTGGCAAATGTGGCTATGCTGTTCTGTGTGGTTCCCGCAGGAAAGGTGAAGCAGGGAGGTGCTCTAAGTACCTCCAATGGGCTCTGGGGCCTGGGGCTGTCTCTCTGGGGCTGGGGCCTGGTTGTGGGGTGATTAGACCAGTGGGTGGTGGCCAGGAATGTGGGAGCCCCAGGGAGGAGACACGGGGTGGGCTCTGGATGGGTTGGCTTACACGTGAAAGGTTTGGCCATGGGTGTGTCTAGACTATCTCTAGGAATGGGCTGACCTTGGGAGGGCCCTCTCTACAGTCAGCAAGGTCCCAGGTGCGAAAGCATCGGGATTGCAGGGACTCAAAAGGCATCATGCACCTGCCACGGACGTTGGGGTGCGAGATGAACGCCACCCCCGCCAGCCGCAGGTCGGGCAGGAGCTACCCTCAGAGGTACTGCGGGTGGGTGGACTGCCCCCTCCCCAGCTCTGCCTACATCTCAGGATGAATGACAGGCTAAGAGTCAAGCCCAAACCCAGGGGGAACCATCTGCTGCCACAGATTAGCATCAGGATCTCTGTCTACACCCCTTTTGGTGCAGGCTTCTCTCCCTCCTACTTTACTAACTGTACTACAAATAAACACATCTCCTGGGAGGCAAGAGAGGAAAACAGGCATGCGTAAGGGGGACCTACATTATTCATAATCTTACTTTCCAGAAACAATCACTCCTGATTTTGTGATGTCTGTTCTTCCAGACTTTTCTGCTGTGTGAGTGTCTGTTTGTGATTATATTTAAACTAGAGGCCCGGTGCAAGAAATTCATGCACTTTGGGGCAGAGGTCCCTCAGCCAGGCCTGCACCTTCTCGTAGTCCGGGAGCCCTCGGGGGATGTCCGACTGATGGTTTAGGCCTGCTCAGTCCCAATTGGCCAGACGCTAGCAGCAAGCTATCCTACTGGTTGGAGCATCTGCCCCCTGGTGGTCAGTGCACGTCATAGCAAGCTGTTGAGTAGCCTTAGCATATCATTAGCATATTATGCTTTGATTGGTTGAACGGAGGACTGGACACTTAGCATATTAGGCTTTTATTATATAGGATATAGGGTTATACAGCACCTTTGGTTTTGTTATCTGCTTTTAAAAAATGAAGTTTAAAATAAAATGAAGGGAAAATAAAAGAATAAATAAAAATGAAGTATATAGGATAGGGCAAAAGTAGGTTTACGGTTGTTCGTATGGAAACTCTGTAATAATAAAAGTGTAATATGCTAATTAGGCCGGATGTCCTTCCAGACAAAGCCGGGGCTGCCAGGGAAGCCCTGGTCCTGGGTGCCAGAGGGAAGCCGGTGCCAGCAGCCAGGTGAAGGAAGGCCTACTCTTGCACGAATTTCGTGCACCGGGCCTCTAGTAATACAACAATTAATGAATAATACAAGAATAAAGCCTGCGTTTCACGTACTCACAATTTTAAACCTACATTTGCCCCACCCTTGATTGTGATGGTCTTTCCAAATCAGTAATTCTGTCTCTGATCCTCGTTTTCCGATGGGACAGATGTGGTGTAGCTGAGAGGCAGCAGGACATGGTCCTTGGCCACATGGGCTCCAGAGCCTGATGCCTGGGCTTGAATCCAGCCCGTCACTGACTGACTGTGGAATCGTTAGTTCACCTCTCCATGCCTCAGTGTCCTTATCTGTAAAATGGGGCTGATCGTCTCTACTGTGCACAGTGGCTGTGAAGCTACCTGAGTTAATGGCTATAAAAGCACTGAGTGTTAGTAGTTCATAGTGTTGCGACTCCTGTTACTGCTGTTAGTTAGCCTGTAGTTTAACGAACCCTCCAGTGTTAGGCAGTCAGTGTTTCTGAGGTTTTGCTATTTCAGACGGACCGTCTTATCATTAAATCCTTACTGAGGTCCTGTGTGGGGCGGGCCTTTTGTGAAGGGGCCCAGGGTTAGGGGTGGGGTCCTTGGGCCCCCTCTGCGTGGCTTCTGTTTGCCCTCACTAACGCCCGCCTCTTTTGCCCCCACAGGCTGTGTGGCACCTACCCCCCCTCCTACAACCTGACCTTCATCTCCTCCCAGAATGTCCTGCTCGTCACGCTGATAACCAACACGGAGCGGCGACATCCTGGCTTTGAAGCCGTGTTCTTCCAGCTGCCCAAGATGAGCGGTAAGGAGGGGCTGGGCGATGCCGGGGCAGGGGCAGGGGCAGGGGCAGGGGTGGGCAGAGGGAGAAGGGGACAGCAGGCAGTGGTGGGCTGGCCAGGTCGGTGACAGAGGCTGGAAGCTTAAGCCATAGGCCATTAGCCCTTCACCTGGGTCCCGAGCCCCGCCAACGCCGTCAGCCTCCCAGCACTGGCTGTGGAGCCTCCCGGTGCCCAGCTGCCAGGCCTGCAGCCGACAGCCCTGGCTTGGCCTCAGGCCGCTCCGCCTGCCCCTCCGTCTGGCCCAGCCCGTGCTCAGTCCTCCTGCTCTTTCTCCTCTTCCCTCTCAGGCTGTGGTGGCTACTTATATGACGACCGCGGGACATTTAGCAGCCCCTACTACCCGGGCCACTACCCTCCCAACATCAACTGCACGTGGCAAATCGAGGTAGGAGCTGTGCGGGGAGGCGAGGGAAGGGTCGGAGATGAATGAGAGAGAGAGAGAGAGGCAGAGGGAGGAAGGGACGCTCCAGATGGCACGTGAGGAGCGCAGAGGGGATGAGCTCCTTGGCCACCCCGCAAGGCTGCAGGTGTGAATCGCACGGGTGGCAGGGTCGTGCGTGGCAGGGTTGTGTGGGGCTGATCTGCTGCGAAGTCAGGCAGACCCAGACTCAAGCCCCAGCTCCTCAGTGGCTGTCTGGGGGCTGTGGGCAGAGCCTCAGCTTGCTCTGGGTCACATAAGAGGGCTGGTGGCTGCTCCCAGCCAGAGGTGCGGTGGGGCCGACGAGGTCGGAGTGGGCATGTGCCGCTGAGTGCACTTGCTGAATGGCCCTGGGACAAGAGTCCCGCCCACAGGACTGCTTCTCATGCCCTCCCAATCCCAGATCCATCTCCTTTTCCTCCCTCGAAAATGGTGGGAGGACCTTCCAGTCCTTTTTAAAAAAAAATATGTTTTTATTGATTTCAGAAAGAGGAAGGGAGAGGGAGAGAGAAATAGTAACATAAATGATGAGAGAGAATCATTGATTGGTTGCCCCCTGCACGCCCCACACTAGGGATCGAGCCGCAACCCGGGCATGTGCCCTTGACTGGGAATCGAACCATAACCTCCTGGTTCATAGGTCAACACTCAACCACTGAGCCACACTGGCCGGGCCCAGCCTGCTTTAGTGCTATAACCATGTCTCTTGCTCCTGAGTCTAGAGGTTCTTCCAAACACGGCCCCCGACCCCTCCTGCTCTGGGTGGCATGTTGCCCCCGTGGCCCGAGAGGAGAAGCAGCAGCCACGCTCCCTGCCCACCCCCTCCTCCCAGCCCCATGGCCGCCGCGGACACCCTCGGGTTTGGGAAAGAGGGACAGAAGCCGCGGAGACCCAGCAGCGTGTCTTTCTGCAGGTGCCCCACAACCGAAACGTGAAGGTGTCCTTCAAAGTCTTCTACCTGTGGGAGCCCAATGTGCCCGTGGGCACGTGCCCCAAGGACTATGTGGAGGTCAACGGGGAGAAGTGAGTGCCTGGGGGAGGGGGGTCGGCTGGGGAGTGGGGGCACTGGCCGGGGAGTCAGGGACCGGGCCTGGTGCCCATGTGGGGGGTGGTGCCCATGTCCTAGGAGGGGTCCTCTGCCTACAGTTGGCCTCCCCCACAGGTTCTGCGGAGAGAAGTCCCAGTTTGTGGTCGCCAGCAAGAGCAGCAGGATCACGGTGCGCTTCCATTCGGACCAGTCCTACACCGACACGGGCTTCTTGGCCGAGTACCTGTCCTATGACTCCAGTGACCGTGAGTGGCTTCTTCGGAAGGAGGAACCTGGCTGGAGGGAAGGACCCTCCGTGCTGCATCTTCTTAGCGTTGGGCCTTCCTCGTCCTAAGACACCAGGCAGTGTGAGGCGCCTGTCCCTCTGGCAGCCTTCTGAACGGAAAAAGGCTACCTTACATGCATGAATTTTTTTAAAATCTATTTTTTTTAAAGATATTTTTATTGATTTCAGAGAGGAAGGGACAGGGAGAGAGAGAGAGAGAGAAACGTCATTGATCACTGCCTCCTGCGTGCCCCCTACTGGGGATCGAGCCGGCCACCCGGGCATGTGCCCTAACCAGGAATCGAACCATGACCTCCTGGTTCATAGGTCGACGCTCAACCACTGAGCCACACCGGTCAGGCCGTGCATGTAAGAAAGACCCCCGTGAACATGGGCACATACCACGCCCTTCGGCCCCAGATGCGGCCCCTCAGCCCGAGGACCCTGGGTGCCTTTGGACCACCTGTCCCTGTGGTTTGGTATCACTGATCATCGGTGCTTGGCCTTTTAGCACCTTTATGGTTAATAGCATAATTTTGAGACGTTAGAAACTTCTGGGCGTGAACACCACGCTAACTGCTCCCGGCTTTGACAGGTGCATGAGCTGTCCCTGAGGGATCTAGCAGTTTCTGTTGCCTTTCATTTCACTGTCTGTGGTGTGAGTAGCGGTTCTTCCACATACAATTGTTTGTTTTTTTGTGTGTTGGCCCTTCATCGGAGAATAACCTTTTGAAAGACATTTTAACTGTACACAGGAGTCCAAGGTTTTAATTTAAAATTCTACTGAATGGCTCTCCACCAATAGTGACATTAGCTGAGCAAACCCCTAGGATAAGTGACTAAGCTACCGATGCAGACAAAGTGACAGTGGTCTCCCCGAACCTCGCCGTCTGCCTGATGACATCAGGTGTCAGACACCTTCCCATTTCAGAAACACGGGAATGCGGGAAATGCCTTGATTAGGGAAATGTGGGACAGGACACCCACATTCCCGAGCTGCCCAGCTGCTGTTGCTCTGTGTCGCTCTAGGGCGCTGGCACTCGGGGGCCACAGAACACCCAGCCAGCCTCTCTCTGCTTTGCCCAGAGCTCCCGGGGTTGGGTCAAGGGCCGTCGGGAGGGACCTGGACCAGCCTTCCTGTTTCGGCTGTAAGCACCCCCTGGCCACGCTTGGTGGACCTGGAGACCCCTGCCCTCTGGTGCCCGTGGCAGCCTGCTCCTCTCCGTTCAGGGCTGGACTGGCCAGTTTTCGTTAGTCCTCAGTGTGGCTGCGAGGTTGGCTCTGGGGAGGGCGGTGAGGCGGGGAGCCGGCTGTGGAGGCGGGTGGAGGCCCGGACCTCAGGCCTGTCCTCTCCCCGCAGCGTGCCCAGGGAAGTTCATGTGCAACACGGGGCGCTGCATTGGGAACGAGCTGCGCTGCGATGGCTGGGCCGACTGCGCCGACCACAGCGACGAGCTCGACTGCAGTGAGTGGGGCCGTGGGCCGGGTCGTCCTCTCTTGCCCTTGCCGTGCCCTGGAGCCTGCCAGCTGATCCCGGTGGCCTGAGGTGGCGGGAGGTGGTGGGAGGTTGTGCCCGTCCCCGAGTAGACATCTAGCCCTCCCTCGCTCGGCTGTGTGGAGCCTTGGCCTCGTGGAGCAGCTCCACAGGCGGTGAGCGGGGCACCCGGATGCTCTCCAGGGACCAGTTCCCCCGGCAGCTTCCCAGGGAAGCAGTGAGTGACGAGTGAGCTGGGGGCTCACATCCCGCTGAGCCCCCCCAGCTGACTCCCACCCTCGCCCCCCCAGAATGCAACGCCACCTACCAGTTCACGTGCAAGAACAAGTTCTGCAAGCCCCTCTTCTGGGTGTGCGACACCGTGAACGACTGCGGGGACAACAGCGACGAGCTGGAGTGCAGTGAGTGCCCGTGGGGGCTGCCCGGGGGGGCCCGGCTCCCTGCTGTCCACTCAGCTGGGACTTGGACCCCTGACAGTGCTTTCTGCTTCCCAGGTTGTCCAGATAAGAACTTCAAGTGTGGCAACGGGAAGTGCATCCCCGAGAGCCAGCGATGTGATGGGAAGGACAACTGTGGGGACGGGTCCGATGAGGCCAAGTGCAGCGGCGGTAAGGCCTGGCCCCGCCCTCTGACCTTTAGGGGGTTCCTCCTGCTCCGGGGAAGCCGCCCAAGCACACTCACATGCAGTGCGTGCAGAGCTTAATAAGCACAAACTGCCTTCTTGACGCAAGGGCGTCCGCAGAGGGAGAACCTTCCAGAACGTGGAGGACCCTGGGCAGGGCTGGAAGGACAGTGGACGGTGGGGTGGCGGGTGGGCCGGGCCTGAGTGAGGGGCGTAGATGGCTGGATGGCAGGCTGCTGAGGAGGTCCCCAGTGGAAATGACTTGCTCCCCATGTCCTGCTCCCCACGCAGGGACTGTCGTCACCTGCACCAAACACACCTACCGCTGCCACAACGGGCTCTGCTTGAGCAAGTCCAACCCCGAGTGTGACGGGAAGAAGGACTGTAGCGACGGCTCGGATGAGAAGAACTGCGGTGAGCGGGCCCGCCCGCGGGCACAGGGGGTCCACTGTGCAGGCACAGACAGGCGGAACCCGCCAGGGCCTCCCATCCCATTTCTGCCCTGGCTGCTGCCCGGAGGAAAGGATGGCCTTGCCGATTTGTTGACTGGCACGAGGGCACTGCCCCAGGGGCGTGCTCTGGTCCGGGAGGCAAGGCCCAGGGCAGCCAGCAGCTCAGTTGTCCTGGTCCCGGCGGGGGTGCTGGGCTGGCCTCTGCTTCTGGACCCGGCTTTCCTGTCCTGCCCGGGGGAGGGGGCACAGTTCCCCAGCCTTCACCAGTGTTTGCCCGCACCCCACCCCATGCTTTAGTTTGCAGTCTCCTGTGTGTGTGCCAGAAGCCCTGGTCCAAGTTATATCTGAGCATAGCAGCTGTTCTCTGACTTCATGTCACCCGCCCGTGCTCCCTCTGAGCTGTGTCTTCAGCGTTTGCCAGGGAAATCTAGGCAAATGGCACCCCTGGTAATCTGAGCAAACCAGCAGGTGTCTGCAGGTGCCCGAATGCATTTGTGCAGGGGGGGAGCCTGGGGGGATGTGAGGGTATTGACCTTGGGAGCAGGGAAGGGGCCCCGTGGAAGTCAGTGGGTTCGAGGCTCAGAGATCCTCGCTTGTAGGGTCTGTCATGCCACAATGGCACCAGCAGTGCTGTGCCCACTGG